GCGCGGCGCAGCTCGACGCCCTCGACGACGCCGTCGACCGCGACGACCTCGACGCCATCGAGGCCTGCGTCGACGCGATGCCGTCGAGCCCCGCGGCGGACCGCGGGCTCCGGAGGGCCGAGGCGCTCCGGGCCGAGCGGCTCGCGCGCGACGAGGCGGCGGACCTCGAGGACGCGCGCCGGGCCGCGCTCGACGCGGAGCGCGACGCCGCGCGCGTCGCGGCCGTCGCCGACGCGGGCCTCGCCGCGGCGCAGCGCGTCGGCTCGCCCGCGACGCTCGCCCGGGCCGTCGAGGCCCTCGGCCGCGACGCGTCGCCGGACAAGACGCGGCTCGCCGCGCACGTCCTGTCCACGCGGACGCGCGTCGCCGACGCGCTCGCGGCGGCGTCGGCGCCCGGCGAACTGGTCCGCGCGTGCCTCCGCGCGGAGCGGACGGGCCACCCGCGCGACGAGCGGGCCTACGCGGCCGCGCGGCGCGCGCTGCGGTCGGCCGTGCTCGCGAGCGGCGCGCTCTACGTGACGCGGTCGTCCCTGGGCCTGGACCCCGACGACCGCGACGACGAGCGGCGCCACGTCGCCCTCGTCGCGGGCAGCTTCGACGGCGCCACGGGCGCGTACCTCGGCCCCGCGCTCCTCTGCTCGCGCGACGGCGGCGACGGCGACGGCCCCGGCGACGGCGGCGAGTACCTGCTCGACGGCGCGGCGCTCGACGTCTACGCGCGCGAGGACCGCTGCTGCTTCGACGTGCGCGTCGACGGCGTGCCGCCGCTGGAGCTCGCGGCGGCCGGCGCCGCGGAGCGCGACGCGTGGGCGGACGCCGTGCGCGGCGCGCTCGCGGCGCACCACGGCGCGCTCGCCGAGTACGACGACCTCGACGCCGAGGCCTCCGAGGCGCGCCAGCGCCTCCTCCGGGCGGCGCGCTGCGGCGGCCCGGGCGACGCCGCGGCGGCGCCGGGCTTCCACGCGTCCCGCGCGCGCGCGCACGCGGCCAAGCCCGGGCTCGCGGCGCTCCGCGACCGGGTCCGCGCGCGGGCCGGGGACGCGGCCGACGCCGAGACGTTGGACGCGCTGCGCTCCGAGGCCGCGGTGCTCGGCCTCGGGGGCACGGCGGACGCGCTGAGCGCGCGCCTGGACGTCGAGGCGCTGCTCGACGCGGACGTCGCGGGCGCGGACGACCTCGACGGCCTCGTCCTCGCCATCGACCGCGCGCGCTTCGGCGGCGTGGGGCTGGACTCGCCCGCCTACACGCGCGCCGTGGCCAAGGGCGAGCGGCTCCTGGCCATGCAGCAGGCGCGCGACGAGCTCGCGCTCCTCCGCGCGTGCGAGGACGTCGCGGCGCTCGTCGAGGCCGCGGCGCGCGCGCGCGCCGCGGGGCTCCCGGACGAGGAGCTCGCGGCCATCTCGGCGAAGATCGACGCGCTCTGCGAGGCGCAGGAGCGGGCCTTCGGGACGCCGAAATCCGGCGACCGCGCGGTCCCCGTCCGGCCGACGAAGTCGACGGCGAAGAAGCGCGCGGCCGCGCGCGCGGCCGTCGCGGCCGCCGTCGCCGAGGCCGGGTCCTTCACGCTCGTCGCCGACGCGCTCGTCGCGACCTACAAGAGCGACGCGGCCGCCTGGCCGCCGAGGGCGCTCGTCGACGCCGTGTCCGCGGCGCCGCCGCTCATCCGCGGGCCGCTGGCCGTGCGCCTCGAGGTCCACGGCGAGTGGACCGCGTGCGACGACGCGAAGCTGTACGGCGTCACGTTCCAGGGCGACGCGCTCGCCGGGCCCATGCTCCGCGTCCGCGGCGAGTTCCTCCCGCTCCGCGACTGCCGCGTCGACGAGGCGCCGCCCGGCGCGGACCACGCGTTCGCCGTCGTCCACGCGAAGACGCCGCGCCTGCTCGTGCGCGCGGACGACGGCCGGCGCTGGGTCGGCGCCGTGCGCCGCGCGCTCGCCGCGCACGTCGACCTCCTCGCGCAGCTCCGCGCGGTGTCCCTCAAGCGGCGCACCGTGGACCGCGCGGAGGCCCGGGGCGTGGCCCGGGACCTCTTCGCGACGCGGGGGGCGGAGGTACGCGCGTAAGCTCGGGGTGAGCTCGGAGCGAGGGATGCTGCCGGATTTGATCTTTTGGTCGGAGCTAGGGGATGCTGCCGGGCTCGATCTCTCGCGCGCGAGCCTAGCGAGTGTACTAGACCCAGGCGAAGCCTATGTAGGAGCCTTACGACTGCGATGGATTGCGGGCGCCGACGGCCTCCTCGATGACAGCCAGGACCTTGACGCGCGCCTCTTCGTGTTCGCAGTGCAGAGGAATTTCGCGGGGCGTCGTGCCAACCGGCACGACGAGCGAAGTTATACTGCTATGGTACTCCTTGATCGACGGCGCGTCGATGTTTGCGCCACGCGTGATGAGCAAACGCACGATCGCGTCGGTCCGGTTGATATGATTTCGCGTCTTTTTGCGCACAACCTCTTGACTTTTTTCCTCGCTGATAAATTCCAGGAGTTGTGTCACAGCCCAATGTAGAGCGGTAAAGTCACCGCCGATCTCAACGGCCGAAGGATCGGCGCCGTTCTCCAGCAGGAGTCTTATCACGCCAACGTTAGACATGCCGGCGACGGCGAATACGAGCTCGGAACTGAAGTTCGCCACGCAATCTTCTCGTCGCTCACGTAGGAGGAGCTCTACCATCTGAAAGCGATTCGACGGCCAATAGCAATACTTTTTGTTCATGTCCCCGAGACGAGACATGAGCGCGTTTCTCTGGTTATTAGTTGAAGGGAATCGTGTCGTAACGGATGCTCCTCGTAGGAGCAGAACTGTGGCTATGTCGAAGTAGCCTTTCCTCGCTGCCACACCGAGCGCAGTATCCTGCTTCGGCAGCTGTCGGTCGATGGGGAAGCCGTAGTCGAGCAGAACATTGATAGTTTCAACAAAGTGACTGCCCTCGGCGCAGGCCATGGCTATCGGGGTTTCAGTGAAATGATCCCAGCTGGAGAGCTGCGCAGCATCTAGGAGAACTTTGAGCACCTTGTGCTGCCCGTACACACAGGCCGAAATAATTGCTTTTTCTTGTCCCTTCTCGCGCAGTGACGCCGCGAATTGCGGGTCCCGGCAGAGTTCCCGACACGCCGCGTCCTGGCCGTAGTGGACTGCAAACTCGAGAATCGATATTTCAGGAGTGTCCGGGTCATCCACATAGAGGCTGTATCCGAGGTCACGGAGCCTACGCAGGATGTGCGTGTGGCCGTGTTTTGTAGACCGCGTGACAATGTAGCGCAAATGTGTCTGTCGCTGCTGAAGATCCCCATGCAAAAGCGCCTCGACACAGTCCGCGTGGCCCTGGAAGACAGCATGCTTGAGCGCCTCACGTCGCCAAAACTCCGGCGCGAACATTGATAGAGATAGTATGGCTTCGACGACCGACGCGTGGCCGTTTCGCGCGGCTACCTCGAGCGCCATGCGTTCGGCCATGGGTTCCACGCCCCAATCCGAGAAGTTCGGCGCGAACAGCCGGGCTGCTCGCTGCATGATACGCGTGGCAATCATCATGCGCCGCACGGCCCACACATCGCCCGCCGCCGCTGCAGCTTCGAACGCGGGGTGCGTTGTCATCATGCGGCGCCAGTGATATGAGGTGCCGTCGGAGAGGCCCAGCGCAGCGAGCATGTCGCCTTTCTGCTCGGAGGAAAAGTCCGGTAATAGGTAATCATCTCTGCGCACCGACACAGTGACGGTGGTCACGCAAGGGACTTTGGCGACAAGGATTGCCGCGCCGACGACGTTGGCCGCCTTCATCGCGTAGTCGAGCGCCGTCACGTGCGGTTGGTCGTCCACGTTGGCGTAGCTGAGCGGGGCCTCCGCCATCGCAGGCGCCTCGAGCAGGCGCAGCAAGAGTTCGTTCTGTCCGTCGGCCGCGGCCGCGCACAAAAGACTCGCGGCAATCGGCGTCTCGCCGTAGTTGCGCTGAACGCCGAAGAGCTTCACCGGATCCTCGTCGGGAGCGCCCTCGCGCGCGTAGCGGACTGCGATTTGCCGAGATTCGTCGTCGTCACCGCTGTGGGGGATGGGGCGCAGGTAGGTGGCGCCATTCCAGGTGGTCTCCGTCTCTGCATGATTAAACCAGTTCATCGCGACAAATAGCTTGTCGCCCTCCGCGAGGCACGGCAGTCGATCCTCAGAAGTGACAGCCGCCAGGGCCGCATCGACGCGCGAGGCGCCGTCGCTGAGCTCGCCGAGGTGGCCGAGAACCTCGAGCGCCAGGGATCCCGCGAGGCTATCCGGCACGAAGAGGTGCCGACGAAGCAGCGCCTCCCGCTCCGGCGCGAAGCAAAGAAGAGGATCGCCACGAAAGCGGGCGACGATCGCGCGCGCGCAGCACGCGTGCACGAACGCATCGTCCAGAGCGATTGACGGATGATCACCGATTCGCACGAGGTGGCCAGCCTTCCACTCCTCGATGTCGTCGGGCACGTACTTCGGGTTGAAGGGCAGGAGTAAGCCTTGCAGGGCCTCGCGCCAGAGGCCTCGCTGCACGCGTGGTGGCAGCCCGGCCTCGCTGCAGATGTCGAGGAACGTCGCTTCGTCCGTGCCCCGGAAGACCGCGTTGCCGGACAGCTCGTCGTCGGTGAGGAAGACTCGCCAGCAGTACGCGTCGCAGACGCGCTCCAGGGTCGAAACGTCCGCGTGGGCTGACGCTAAAGCCGAGCGCGCGAAGAGGGCATTCAAGTGATGCGGCCCGACTTTGTTCATCCGCGACCAAGCACCGCATCCGCGGTAATCGCGCGTCGCCGCGCGCAGCAGTCGATAATGGACGCGATCGGCGCCTCCCATCGCCTCGATCATCTTGGCGGCCGTAGCTTCTCCGACGCCGTCGTCGCGCGGCGCCATGGTGCTATCCATCGCCTCGACTTGGCGCCGCATGCTGACCAGGCCCAAGCGATCATCTCGGCGCGCCGATACATCGAGGACGAGCATGCCCGCGTGGAGCAAGCCTTTCCGGATGCGCTGCAAAGAATCCAAGAAGGCCTCGGAACGTGCCACGTCAACATCATCGGCCGGCGGGGTGGCGATCGCCAGCGGCCGCCGCGGGCTCGGCACGCGCAGCACGCCTTCGCCGTATCCAACGTCGCTGCGCTCGTCCGTGTAGCCGTCGAAGTCGTATTCGAACATGATGAGGTCCAGGCTCGTATTACGCGGCGGCACAGCGCTGTACAAGGACAGCGGATTCTGCGAGGGCTCCGCGACCCGCGACGCGAAACCGCCGGCGCGCCGGATCGCAAAGAGCTCCGCTCGGCACGCGAGACGCGTCGCGCGGTGAAACCCAAAGCCTTCGCCGCGGCGCAGGCCGATCGGTGCCTCGATGATGATGGACGCGCATCGCAACGACGAATGAGCCCGCTTGGAGAGCGCCTCGAGCGTGAGCACGGTCTCCGCCCCCGCGAAGCGAAGCACCGCTGTCACGGCCTCGCCCGACGTCAAAACACTAATGAAGTCCAGGCCGGCGGCCCGCGGGCGGCGCTTGACGGGACGACCCGAAATAACCTCTACTTCTAGACGCGGACGTTTCGCGAAGACTGCTCCCATTTGGGTGGTGCGCCGGGCGAATGCGGGTGCTCTAGCCGGCTAGCTGAGGAGGCCGCCGACGCGTCCAACGCTCCCACCGCGGAGCCTCTGCGGACCCCAGTGCTTGCACGCAGCCTCTAGGCCGAACGGTCGGGCGTCGCCCTCGACTCCCCCCCCAGACCCTGCCGGCGGATTAGAACGTCACGCTCACGGGGCTGTCCGCGCGGTCCGGCAGCGGGAAGAGGAGCGGCGACGCGGGCCGCTCGAGGGGCACGGGGAGCTGCCGCTCGTCCTCGGTCATGACGACGACGGAGTGGACGACCTCGAAGACGTCCGGGTCCTCGGGGACGATCTTCCCCGTGAGGAGGTCGTACTCGACGTGGCGCCGCGGCCGGTACGTCGCCGCGGCGACGGAGCCCCCGAAGTCCGGCGCCGTGCGGGGCCGCGCGGACCGCGGGGTCCGCTTCGTCGGCGGCGGCGTCCGCGGCGGCCGCGGGTCCGGCGCGAGGGACGCGGAGGGGAACTCCGTGATGACCGTCGCGCCCTCGAGGAGCGATTCGCCGAGGAGCGGGCGGCCGCGGTCGTCGAGCACCTCGCTGAGCCGGAGCGTCTGGAAGCCGCCGAGGGACATGTTGTCGGCGTCGTGGACGTAGGTCCGGTGCGCCGACTGGCCGTCGGACGTGCGCACGGTGACGCCGGGCGCGACGGACGCCATGACCGACGCGCGCGCGGCCGCCTCGCGCGCCTCGACGTCCGACGCCTCGAAGAGCTTGGCCCGCGGGTCGAAGAGGGGCCTGCGCCGCAGGGACACGTCGCCGCCGAGCGCGCTGCCCGCGAGGTCCCACGCGTGGCGCGCGCGCGCGAGCGCGCCGCGCCGTCGCGCGTCGACGACGTGGCCGCGCGAGTCCAGGGTCGGCGCCGTCCGCGCCCAGTCCGCCCCCCGCTCCGTGACGTTCCACCTGACGGGGGGCTTGACCGTCGTCGCCGCGGCCGCGCGGCGCCCGCGGCGCCGCGTCGTCGACGCCTCCTCGGGGGCCGCGTCCCCGTCGCGCGCGGCCTTGAGCCGCTTCTTCTCCGCGACCTCCTGGCGGTGGAAGGCCCGCAGGTAGGACGCGACGGACGGCGTGTGGCTCTCGAGGTCCGCCTCGGGGTCGGGCAGCTCGACGACGACGGGGTCCTTGTCGAAGAAGGGCCGCTCGCGCCGCGCGGGCTTTTCGCGCGGCGCGGGCACGGCGCTCCCCGGCGGGCCGATGGTGCCCCGGAAGCTGCCGAGGCTCCGCGCGGAGTCGTTGGACTTGCGCAGCGCCGCCGGCGGCGACGACGCGCCGCTCTCGAACGTCGGCGGGTCCGGCTTCGCCGTCCGCTGCAGGTCGACGACGAGCTTCGTCGCCTTCTGGAAGCGCCGCTTCTTCCGCTTCTTCTTCGGCGCGTCCTCCTCGGGCGCCGGCGGCTCGGGCTCGGGCTCCGGCGGCGGCGACGGCCGCGTCGCGAGGCGCGACGACGCGAGCGTGTCGATCGCGCCGCTCTCGGGGTCCGGCTCGGGCCGCGGCGGCTCCGCGAAGCGGTCGCCCGCGTCGGCCGCGGCGTAGAAGGCGAGCGCGAGGCGCACCTGCTCGGCCATAACGCAGGCGCAGAAGGCCGGCGCCCTCCGGGCGTAGTCGCGGTCGACGACGTGCGCGCGCACGCCGTCGAGCGCCGCTTCTATAATATCGAGCGCGGCCTCCTCGCCGACCGTGTCGTCGGACGCCTCCGTCGCGACGATGAGCAGGCCCACGAGGTGGGTCGCGAACTCGTCCCTGCTCACGTTGCCGTCGCGGTCCTTGTCGAGCTCGCGCGAAAAGGCCTCGATGTCGCCGTCGCCGAGCGCGTGCGCGCCCTCGGCTCGGAGCGCCTCCATGGCCCGCCGCAGCTCGCGCATGCTCAGCGCCTCGTTGACGAAGAGGCTGTCGCTGTCCTCGAACCACTTCATGATGAGCTCCTTGAAGCTCATGCCCCGGGCGCTCGCCTCGAGCGCCCAGCGCACGGCGAGGCTCTGCGAGTCCCTGGGCAGGATCCGCGCCGGCGCGTCGTCGCGCGCGGGGACGTCCGCGGCGACGGTGGAGGCGCGCATCGCCGGCGCGGCGCTGCTCGAGCGCTGGTCTCTTTACGGAGCCGAATTGGCGGCTCGGGCTGCCGAGAGGACCTCCATCGGCTGTTACGTGGATCAAGGTTGACCTCACAAACAAGATGCAGTGGCAAATAAAATGGAGATGGTCTCTGATAAGGCCCGCACCGAACCCTTCGCGTAACCCCGGCCCCGCGCCCCCGCCGGCCGGCGCAGACTGACCTTTACCTTCCCGGAGGCCGAAGGCCGGAGGAGCACGGGCAAACTTGTGATCTCTGAAATCACAAGCGCCGCGTGAGCCATGCGCGGCCGACTCCCGAGCGCGTCGCGCGACGTTTCGCAGCAGCGCGCGCCGCGGCCCCTGCTCGCGACGCGCAGCGGCGGCGTGGCGCCGCAGTTCGTGCTCGTGCTCCTCGTGCTCGGGCTCTTCGCCCTGCACAGCGGCCACCGGGCGACGCTGGCGAGCCTCAAGAAGGACGCACCGGTCGCCGCCGCCGCGTCGGTCGCGCCGCCGCCGCCGCGAGCCGCGCCGCCGCCGCCGGTACCGCCGAACCCGAAACCGGACGTCGCCGCGCTCGTCGAGGCCTTCGAGGCCGCGGAGCGCGCCGTCGCCGACGTCAAGCGGCGCCTCGTCGACACGGCCTGCCACGCGCCCGACTGCTGGTGGCAGGCGAAGCCCGAGGCCGCGGAGGCCATAGCGGCGCTCCGGGCCGCGTCGCGCGCCGCCCTGGCGGCCAAGTACGGCGCGGAGCCCCACGTCGTGCGGTGCCGCCTCGAGTTCCCGGCGTCCATGCCCGACTTTGACACGGCGGGGCCGTCGGGCGACCTCGTCTGGACCATGGGCCCCGCGGACGCGATCCCCTACTCGACCCTCTTCTTCCTCGAGCGCGTCGTCGCACGCTTCGAGGGCGGCATCTTCCACCGCAACGCGCCCCACGTGCTCCAGGCCCAGGTCAAGGGCACGTCGGGGCAGCTCGCGTTCCAGGAGGCGAGCCCGGAGTTCCCGCACGCGGTCCACACGCTCGGCTTCGCGGGGCGGCCCGGCGGCGCGGGCGCGTTCTACGTGAACACGATCGACAACGTCCGCAACCACGGCGGCGACCGCAAGGGCGAGCCCGACGCGATTCTGGGCAAGCTCGTCGGCGCCGCGGCGCACGTCGCGACCCGCATGCGGACGCAGCCGGGCGGCACGAAGCCCAACGGCTTCGTCAACAAGGCCGAGAACCACATCCGGATCCTCGGCCTCGAGCTCCTCGAGGGGGAGGAGCGGCGCGCGGCGCTCGACGGCGCGTCGTTTTAGATTGATAAAGCCGGGGTTACGACGCCTCGAGCTCGCCGGCGCGCTGGAGGAAGGCGCTCGCGTGCGCGGCGTAGAGCGGGTCCGCCGCGGCGACGCGCGCCGCGCGGCCGAGGTAGTCCGCCGCGCGGGCCGGGTCGTCCGCGAGGTCCGCGAGCCTCGCGACGAGGTCGTGGAGCGGCAGCGGGAGCGCGAGGTCGTCGTCGTCGTCGTCGTCGTCGTCGTCGTCGTCGCCGCCGCCGTCGTCGGCGTCCGCGTCCGCGTCCGCGTCGGCGGCGGCGGCGCGGACGGCCGACGCCGCGACGCCGGACTCCCGCTCGCCGTCGTCGTAGTCGACGTCGTAGGTGCCGCCGTCGTGCGCGGCGGCGATCCTCCCCGGGTACCAGTGGCCCTCGGAGCCGTAGTCCGCCTCGACGGCCGCGCCGACGGCGAGGCGCGCGGGCCGGGCGCTCCCGCGGACCGCGGCCGCGGGCACGCGGCGCTCCCGCTCGCCGTCGTCGTAGTCGACGTCGTAGGTGCCGTCGTCGTGCGCGGCGGCGACCCTGCCCGGATAGTAGTGCCCCTCCAGGCCGTAGTCCGCCTCGACGGCGTCGCCCGCCGCGAACGACGCCGCCGGCGACGCCGGCGGGCCGCCGCGCGCCGCGCCGGCGTCGCCGACGACGCTCGCGAGCGCGCCAAAGGCCCCGGCCCGGTCGACGGCGAGGCCCAGGGCGCCGTCGGCGAGGGCGAGGCCCAGGCACGCCGTCGCCGCGCGGTGGCCCCGGCGCGACGCGTACCGCAGCAGCCGCCCCGCCTTGCGCGCGTCGCGGAAGCTCGCCGGCGCGTCGTCCGTGGGCGCGAGGCAGGGCCCGTCGAGGTCCAGGGGCGCCGGCGCCGCGGGGAGGTCGACGTCGCAGCCCGGCGCCGCGGGCAGGAGCGGGTGCGGGAGCCGCCGGTGCCACCGGGCCAGCGCGTACGCGCACCGCGCGTCGCCGCGCGCCGCGCCCGTCGCCGCGTGGAGCAGCGCCGACGCCGCGTCGGGCAGGGCCTGGGTCCAGCGGCCCTCGCAGTGGAGCCGCGCGAGGGCGCCGTGCACCTCGCCGAGCGCGACGTCGATCTTCCGGGGCTCGCGGCCGCCGCCGTCCGCCGCGACCGCGTCGAGCGCGGCGAGCGCGTCCCGCGCCTCGCGGACCGCGCGCTGCTCGTGGGTCGCCGTCGCCGGCGACTTGGGCGCCAGCAGGCCGCGGCGGTTGACGTCGACGGCGTCGACGTGGTCGTCGTCGCGCGCGCCGGCCGCGCGCTTCCCCCTGCGGTGCGCCTCCGCGGCCTCGAGGCGGCACCTGCGCGGAAACATCTTCGACCCGACTTCAATGTGAGCGTATGCGACGGTTTCGACGCGAGTTCTTCTGCCGTGCTTCGAGAACTCGACGAGAGCGATCGACTCGTCCAAAAGTCAGCCGAATCGACGTCGATTTGGACCGAGCTAGAGCATTTCAAAGTTTGGTCGGGACGTCCCGAACCGGCGGTCGCTTTCCACGCGGGGCGGCGCCGGCGCGCGTCGTCGTGGCAGGACATGCGCGTCTTGGCCTCGAGCCCCGCGAAGCGCACGACGGAGCTGCGGTGCGTGCGGTGGATCTTCTGCTTCGTGCGCGGCGACGTCTCCTCGGAGTCGGAGCCGACCCGTTTCGACGCCTCCGCGGCGCGGTGGCGCTCGACGGCGCTGAGGTCGAAGTGGGGGATGCCCAGCGCGTCGAAGAGCCCGTTCCTCCGCGAGTCCAGGGACGCGAAGAAGAGGGCCATGCCGCGGCGGCCGAGGTCGCCGTCGCCGCGCGACTCGTCCGACGAGTGGAGCTGCGGGTCCGTGTAGAGGTCGCCGACGCCCTGGACGTCGCAGACCAAGACGTCGCCCTCGGACGCGTAGAAGCTGAACGCCGAGAAGGCCTGGGGCGTGAGCCGCCGCTCGCTGTCGTCGACGTAGCCCGAGTTCGAGTTGTGCTTCACGAAGCCGAAGCCCCGCGCGTCCGTGCCGTCGATGAAGCGCTCCGCGCAGAACTTGGGCGACCCCGGGCGCCGCTGAAACTCCAACACGCAGCAGGCGATCATCTTGATGGGCTTCGGCGGCCGCAGCGCGTTGAACCGGTCCGCCCAGAGCGCCGCCTCGGTCTGCGTCTCGACGTCGTCGAACGCGCGGCGGTCGTCGCCGTCGTCCGCCGGTTTTTTATATTCCTTGAGCACGAAGTTGGGCACGCGGCGCCACTCGAGGGCGTGGTAGCGCTGCACGTAGCCGAAGTTGAGCTTCTTCGCGCGGTAGCACCGCCGCATCGCGCCCTCGTCGAAGACGCGGCCGTCGACCTTGACCAGCGACGGGTCCCGGGACCAGGTCCGCGCCGCGGCGTCGTAGCGGTGCCGCAGCACGACCTCCGCGGGCCGCAGCTCCAGCGCGTGGGACGCCCAGACGTCCGGCAGCGCGCGGACCTCGCGCGCGACCTGGGCGGAAATCAAATCTTCAACCCGACTTCAATGTGCGCTTATTTGAAAGTTTCGACGCAACCTCTTCGGCTCTGCTTCGAGAACTCAACGAGAGCAATCGATTCGTCCAAAAATCAGCCGAATCGACTTCGATTTGATCGAGATAGAGAGTTCTGAAGTTTGGTGGGGACCCCCCAAACCAGTGGTTGATTTCCACACAGGCGGCGACCGCGAGCACGTGGCGCCGGAGGTCCGCGCGCTTCTCCATGGACTCGGACCGCTCCAGCGCGGGCCGCGGCGGCTCCTCGACGGCCTCGAAGCCGCCGTGGGCCGTGAAGCGCCGCTTCGACGTCGGCGTCGGCCGCGAGCCGCGGACGTTTCTGACGACGAGCGCGACGACGGACATGTCGTCGACGTACTCGTCGTCGTCGCGGTCCGCCCACCAGCGCTTCTCCGACTCCGCGTGGATCGCCGCGACGACGTCGCGGAGCCGGTCCGCGTCGCCCCGGGCGTCGTCGACGCGGTCGTGCACCTCGTCGAGGGGCATCGCGTCGCTCACGCCGTCGCTGCACACGACGACGGCGACGTCGCCGAGCTCCCCCGGCGGCGCAAAGTCCGCGAGCGCGACCTCGCAGACGTCGGGCGCCGCGGAGACGCCGACGCGCTTGCCCAGGGCGTCGCCGAGGCTCCGGGTCATCGCGAGCCCCGGCCCGCCGTCGTCGGCCCAGACGCGGCCGTCGCGCACGAAGCCGCCCGCGGCCTCCACGGCCGCCCGGCCCGACTCCGCGTCGTGGGGGCGGCTCCGCCAGCTCTTGCGCTCCGTCCTCAGGGACACGGGCGAGTCGCCGACGGCGACGGCGACGACGGACCCGTCGGCCAAGACGCACGCGGCCGCGAGCGTCGTGCCCGACTTGGCGCCGTACTTCTCCTGGACGTCGTCGGCCATGGCGCCGGCTTCGAGCCGCGCGACGACGGTCTGGAAGACGCGCTTCCGCGCCGCCGGCTCGAGCGTCGAGAGGTCCGAGACGCCCGCGGCCGCGGCGCGCAGCTCGGCGACGACGCGCTGCGCCGCGAGCCGGGAGAAGTGCTCGCCGTGCGTGCCGTGGCCGTCGAAGACGGCCAGGAGGTGCTGGCCGGGCACGCCCAGCACGTCCGTCTTGACGACGCACGCGTCCTGGTTCACCTTGGGCTGGCCCTCGCTGAGCCCGCCGCAGCACGTGCCCGCCCACGCCGGCGCGGCGCCGCGCTCGAGCCAGACGTCCTTCGTCGCGAGGGAGGCGCAGGAGATGGCGGCGCCCTCGGCCTCGTCCGCCGGCTCCTCGTCGAGCGAGATTTCGTCGACGGCGAGCTTCGGCAGCTCCTCGTCGCTGTAGGTGACGCTCCGGCGGCGGCGCTGGGCCGCCATCATGGGGTTCATCGTTGTCGTGCGCGTAGGGCTTTGTTGTTTTCGGTTGCGCCGCGGCTTCTTTTTTTACGGGTTCTCGACGCGAACTTCTGGGGCTGGACACCGAGCAGCGACGACTCCAGGATCTCCGAGCTCGAGGGAGGCTGCCTCGCATCAACAACTCGGCGCGGGGGTGATGATGCCCCTCAGCTGACTGATGCCGTAGCAAACACGATGCCGTGGCTGAGCCCGCGTTCGGCGCTCTCTCCTTGACGTGAATCGCTCGCCGACGCCAGACGCGCTCGCCGAAAGGCCAAAGACAGGCATGGCGCCCGGCTTTTGGGGCCAGAGCCAGGAGGACGGCCCCTCCATCTACGAGCGCCTCGTCATGGAGGAGCAGCGCGAGAACGCGCGGCGCACGGGCCGGCGCGTCGGCGACGTCCTCGAGTCGCGCCAGCTCGAGGCGGCGCTCGAGGCGACGGCGGCGCTGCCGCGCAGCGCGTCGCGCGGGAGCCTCGGCGCCGCGTCGTCGGCGCCGTCGCTCGACGACGGCGCGTCGTTGCGCGACGACGACGACGTCGCGGGCGAGGACTGCGGCGGCGGCGGCGCCGGGCCGGTCGCGGCGGCGGCCGCGGCGGACGCGGCGGAGCAGCGGTCGCCGCTCGCGCTCGCGCCCGAGGAACTGATGATCCGTATCCTCGCGTACTGCGGCATCGAGGGCGGCGCGGTCGGCGCCGCGGCCTGCCGGTCCTGGCGCCGGGCCTGCGCGTCCGAGCCGCTCGCGGAGCTCCTCTGCCGCCGCCACTACGGCGCCGGGCGCGCGTTCCGGCCCGAGCGCTGGGGCGGCTGGCGCGGCATGCTCCTCCGGCGGTCGCGGCTCCGCCTCGGCGGCTTCTACGCGCTGCGCCAGTCGCGGAGCAAGCCCGTGAAGCAGGACATGAACACGCCGCGGGAGCTCGCGGGCACGTTCTGGCTCGAGGTCGCGTGGTGGCGCGTCTTCCGCTTCTTCGGCGACGGCACCGTCGCCTACGCGTTGTTCAACGAGGACCACGCGGACCCGAAGCGGCGCGCCGCGGCGCTGCTGGCGGCGCCCGCGCGCGCGGCCGCGGCGCCGGACCGGCGGCGGCGCGCCGCGCCGAAGCGCGACGCGGCGACGCTCGGCGCGTACGAGCTCGCGAAGCGCGACGTGTCCATGCTCCTCGAGCTCCCCTACGGCTGCATGCGCTTCGCCGCGACGCTGCGCCACGGCGACCTCGGCGCCCACTTCGCGACGCTCGACCTCGACCGCCACCAGCAGATCGAGCCCGACGGCCGCGTCCTCGACCACACGGTCCCGGAGGTCGCCGCGTTCAAGTTCGTCGCCGTGGCGGCGTGGGCCTAGGGGGAGCCCCGGGGGACCCTTGCTTTTGTGTAGATGATCAGTTCCCGCCGCGCGGCAGCCAGAACGAGACGGCGGAGCGCGCGACGACGACGGGCAGGCCGAGGATTTGGAGCATTTCGATTTGTCAAAGCACTTTGAAGTGCAAGGAGTCGATGATGCTGCAAGTCGGATGAGGGCCGCAAGTCGATGGATGAGTGGCGCCACAAGCCTATGGCGACCTAGCATTTAGGAATGCACGCCTAGACCCATCCATGGCCGCGCTCTCCGACGCCGCAGCGCTGAGCGCGGCCATGGCCAAGCTCGACGCGACGCTGGCCGGCACCGCGGACGACTCCGCCGCCGCCCAGGCCGCGGCGCTCTGGCGCGAGGTCGGCGCCGACGCGACGAAAAAGCGCCGTTTCCCGAGCCACGCGGCCGTCATGAAGGAGGTCGCGTCCGCCGACTATAGCGCGATCCTCGAATGCCCCTTCGACGCGCGAAGGAACCACGCCTCCGCCGCCGCGACGCGCACGCTCTGCGCGCACGGCGCCGTCGCGCGCTGCCGCGTCGAGTTCGACGGCGGCGCGGCCTACACGGGCCTCTTCGCCGGCGCGCCGGAGTGCCTCATCCGGCTCTCGACGGCCGTCGCGCCGGCCACGGGCGTCGCGAAGCACGTCCTCGGCAAGATCAAGCACGCGAAGCTCTTCCCCTGCGTGGCCATCAAGGGCCTGCGCGGCGGCGCGCCTTCCGGGAACTTGCTGTTCGCCGGCGCGAAGACGGGCCACGCGTCGGCGGACTTCTTCGACCGCGGCGTCTGCACGCAGCTGACGCACAAGATCCCGACCGCGCTCGCGCCGGCCGTGGCGCCCTTCAAGCGCTACTCGCGGCACCCGCTCGCGCTCGGCCTCAGCGACTGGGCCTGCGTCGACGCCGACGGGGCGGCCGTCGCGGATCCGGAGTTCCCCTGGTGCCTCGCGCTCTGCCCGTCCGCGACGCTCGCGGCGCCGCCGCTGCCGCCGTCCGCGCCGTTCGACGCGTTCATCGACGCGCTGCTGACCGTCGAGGCGGGCACGTGCCTCTACGACGTCTACGCCGCGGCGTCGCCCAAGGCGCTCGGCGGCGCGACGCCGGACATCGCGAGGATCGGCCGCGTCGTGACGACGTCGGAGATGCGCTACTCGCCGCCGGACTGCCAGCTCATCTTCAAGCACCAGGCCAAGGAGGAGGACTACGCCCTCCGGCCCGACTGGCTCGCGGAGCTCGCCACGCCCGTCGTCTGCCACGACGGCGCGCGGGGCACCGCGGAGAAGCACTGCGGCTCCAAGTTCTTCGACGCGCACGTCGCGAAGCGGGCCGCGCTAACAACGCGTCTAGAGCCCCAAGGTCTTCGACCGCCACCGTGAACACACGTCGTTCGTTAGAGCCCCATGGCGCGCTTCAGGTCGGCGGCCTGCCGCTCCGCCGCCGGGTCGGCGAAGAAGGCGACGGCGTCCGCGCGGTACGTCGCGAGCGTCGCCGCGTCCGTCGTGTCGATGGCGTCGTCGTGGATGTTCGGCGAGAACCGGAAGTAGGACCCGGGCGGCGCCAGGTCGGCGACGGCGTCGTGGATGAGCGTCGTCGACGTCGCCGAGTCGATGAGCTGCGTGACGATGCCGTCCCAGCCGAGCTCGTGCGCGTCCAGATTCTTCGTGAACTTCTCGCCCGTGCCCACGGAGACGACGGCGTCGATGGGCACGCCGGGGAAGAGCTTGCCCGCCTCGTGGATGGCGACGGCGCTCGGGTTGTTGGCGATGAGGGCGCCGTCGCAGAGCAGCTGGTGTTTGAGCTTCAGCGGCGTGAAGAGCGTCGGCGCCGCCGTCGCCGCGCGGAGCGCGGACCGGAGCGACAGCTGGCACGTGCCCGGGTAGCGGCTCTCGCTGTCGTCGGGGTACTCGTAGCTCCGCAGCAGCGAGATCGTCGCCGGGCAGACGGAGAGGAGCGTCGAGAGGATCGCGACCTCGGGCGCGCCCGGCGCCTCCGCGGCGTCGAGCAGGTCGTCGTCGCCGAGCAGGTCGCGCAGCACGTCCTCGATGTGGTTCTCGTCGTAGCGCGCGCGCCGCAGCACGAGCTGCACGTCGCCCTTGCCGCCCTCCTTGACGAAGATGCGGTCGATCAGCGCGTCGTAGAGCCGCGCCGCGACGTCCAAGGAGCACTGCTTCGCGCCGAGGAGCACGGCCAAAATCGCGCCCGTCGACGTGCCCACGACCAAATCGAAGACGTCGCTGGGCTCCCGACCGGGAAAGGCCCTCGCCTGGAGCTCCTTGAGGAGCTGGATCGTGATGACGCCGCGCGAGCCGCCGCCGTCGAGCGACAACACGCGCAGCCCCCGGTTCGTCGGCGCGTCGCGGCGGCCCAGCGCCGCCCGGAGCCGCGCCGCGAGGCGCCGCTCGACGTCGGCGTCGTCCGCCGGCGGCGCCGGCGACAGCAGCCCCCGCGGGTCCGCGGCGCCGCGGCTCGGTCGTCGGTCGCGCTCGTAGAGCCGCGCGCACGTTGCGCAGTTGTCCCGCGCGGTCGCGACGCGCGACGCCCGCGTCGCGCCGTGCGCCCGGGCGGCGGCCTCGAGGTAGCGCCGGACGGTCGCCTCGCGGCGCAGCGCGGCGACGGCCGCGCCGCGGCCCTTGCCCGGCTTCACGGCCGCGAGCGCGAGCCGGAGCGCCGCGGCCCGGCAGCGCGCGTTGCGCGGCCGCGGGTCCCGCAGCAGCCCCGCGACGAGCGCGCCGACGCGGTCCGCGTCGAGCACGGGGTCCGAGACCTCGGGCGCGGCCGCGGAGCCGGGGAGGTCCGCGTAGGGGACTTCGACGACGTCGGACGCGGAGGACCGCGAGTCGAGGTCCACGAGGTGCGCCAGCGCTTCGGCGGCCAGGGCCGCGCCGCCGTACCGGCGCCGCCGCCACCAGCGCCGCACGCCGCGGCCCGCGGCCTCGTAGAGCAGCGAGAGCGCGTCGCCGTCGGCGCAGAACCGCCTCAGCTGCTCCTCTGTTCGGCAGCTCAGGGCCGTCCTCGCGGCGGACGCGGCGGCGTCGCCGGCGACGTCCGCGACGCGCCGCGCGCGCGCGAGGGCCGCGGCGACGTCGACGAGCTGCACCGCGCCGTCGGCCGGCGGCGGCGTCGCGCCCCTCGCCGCGGACCCCCGTAGAAACGCGGCCTCGCCCACGTCGTAGGCCTCGACGCTCATCTCGCCGTCGAGGGACCGGCCCCGGGCGCCGCTCAGCGGCGCGTCGGCGAGCAGCTCGTTCGTCGACGTCGCCGCGAGGAGCTCGTGGCGCGCGTCCTCGAGCGCTTCCGGTTCGTCCGCCGCGGCCGCCTCCGCGAGCGCCTCGTCCGTCGGCGCCGACGCGAGCCAGGACACGTAGGAGCTCTCCTCCGCGGGCGCCTCCTCGAGCGGCCGGTGGCCGGGCACGCGCGCGAGGAGGCCCCGCATGCCGGAGCCCAACGTCAACGGCGCCGGCGGCTCCAGGTTCTCCTCGGCGGCGAGCTGCTGCAGCGTCGTTTTCGTGATCGGCAGCGGCGCGACGACGGGCTTCGTCGTTTGCCGGAGCGCGCGGACCGAGGCCAGCAGCGCAAGCAGTCGCATTGTTCTCGATGACATTGCCGCGCTCCGAGGTTCAGCGCGGCGTATGCGTCAAAATGGGGCCGTTCACATGTTTACCCATGCTTGTTGCCGTCATCAATACTAGTAGCGGAGCAGCCCAGGATGGCTGCCGCGACGCGCTCCCTGCGCTGGCTGGCGCTCGCGGTCGCAGCCCGCGCCGCGCGGCACCACCATGCGACCCCCCGCTTCGCCGACGCCGACGCCGTCGCGCGGCCCGCCGCCGGCGGAAGCGGCCCGACGCCGCGCTTCTTCTTCGTGTTAGGCGTCGAAGGCACGGGCCACCACTTCTGGACGGAGCTCGGCGCCAAGCTCAACGGCGGCGAGCTCGACCGGCTGCCCGAGGAGGCGCGGCGGCGCGTCGACGGCGTGCTCACGGAGGTGACGTCCTGCTTCTTCAGCCTGAGCCAGCCGCGGACGCCGCGGCCGTGCCCCGGCTGCGAGGCCCGGCAGATCTGCGCGTTCCGCTGGCGCGCGGACCCCTGGCCCACGGGCAAGGCGCTGGCCGTCAACGGCTGCTCCTACCCCTGCGGCGCGCGGGACCGGGGCAACGCGAACAACCTGTTCAAGTACACGAGCCCGGACTTCCCGCGCGTCGCGCGCGAGCTCGCGCGGTGGTCCGCGTACGAGCCGCGGCCCGTCGTCATGCTCCGGGACCCCGTCGCCGCGGCGACGTCGGCCCACTTCCGGCGCCACGCCCTCGAGCAGGCCTTCGAGACGACGGCCTTCGAGCTCTACCAGTCCCTGGGGCTCCTCGACCGCCAGGTCCGCCACGTCGAGCAGCAGTTCGCCGTGCTCGTCGTCCACTACGAGGACCTCGTGGCGCGGGCCACGGACGCGGGCTTCGCCAACGCCACGGGCCGCGTCGCCGCGTTCCTGGGCCACGACGCGGCCGCGCTCCGCTTCGCGCTCGCGGGCGGCGCGCGCGAGCGCCGCGACGGCGAGCCCCAGGCCAAGGCGCCCCAGCCCCACCAGCGCCGCTACGTCGAGTACCTCTTCCTCCTCTCCGCGACGGCGCGGGACTGGTACCCGCGCCTCTGGCCCGACTCGACCCGCTACGTCGCGGCCGCGGCCGCGAACGCGGACCCGCGCCTCGCGCCGCGCCGGCGGCGGGCGTCGTAACGGGGGTCTTCGATGCGCGTCGCGGGCCACGCGTGTCTGGAGCCGCCTTCGGGCCCCGGCCGGGCGCGGCGACGCGCATCGGAGACTTCTTCAACAATTACTTCAAACGAGGGACTTTTTGAGGGGCAGCCCCAAGCGAGCATGGAGCGGCCCGAAGAGGTCATGCCTTACACCCCGTTTGAGAACAAGGTCCAGGAGCCCTGGCGGGAGCTCTGGAACACGCACAGAGTCGTGCTCGATGCCGCGCACGACGAGGCGGCGTTCAAGCGCTGCGTCAAGGACTGCCTGCGGCTCGTGTCGACGCGCTGCGCCATGTGCGCGACGAGCATGGCGACATCGCTGCGCTGCGCGAACTGCAAGACGATCTACTGCAGCAAGAAATGCCAGGCGGCGCACTGGAAGCGCGGCGGCCACAAGGCCCGGTGCCGCGAGATCGCGCGCGTCGGCGCGGAGCAGGACTACGCGGACCGCCGGGCCGCGGACGAGGCGGCGAAGGCGGCCCGGGCCTGCGAGGAGGACTGCGAGGGCCTGCGCTGCTTCGTCTGCCTCGGCGACGAGGCCGGGCTCGTGCGCGGCTGCGGCTGCCGCGGCGCCGCGGGCGCCGCGCACCTGCGTTGCCTGGCCAAGTTCGCGAAGATCAAGGTCGAGGAGGACGGCCGCCAGGAGTTCTGGTACGACTGCCGCGTCTGCGGCCAGAGCTACCACGGGCCGGTGCAGATCGCCATGGCCTGGGAGGTCTGGCGCGAGTACCGGGGCCGGCCCGACGGCGACCGCTGCAAGGCGCTCGCGGTCAACACGCTCGCGCAGGGCGCGTTCGCCGCGGGCGACTTCGCGCTCGCGCTGCGCTGCTTCCTCGCCCACATCGCCATCGGGCGGCTCTACTTTAGCGACTGCGTCCTCGACTGCGCCGTCAAGCACTTCCCGGAGGTGTCCGGGTGCCTCCAGGCCCTCGGCGAACGGGCGGCGGCGCTCGCGCTGGACCAGCTGACCCTCACGTGCTGTACGGCGGCGTTCGGCCCCGAGGACATACGCGCGCTCCTCTGCGCGCGGAACGTGGCGGTGTCGCTCTCGAGGCACGGCGAGCACCACGGGGCCATCGCGCTCCTCCGGGAGAAGATCCCGGTCTGCGCGCGCGCCTTCGGCGACGACCACGAGACGACGATGACCTTCCGCAGCGTGCTCTGCAAGGCGCTCCTCGCGGGCGACCGCATCGCGGCCGCGGTCAAAGCGGACGCGCGCGGCGGCCGCCTCGGCGACCTCGTCCTCGAGATCGCCGAGGCCGCGGTCCTCGCGGAGCGCGCCGTCGCGTTCTCGACGCGCTTCTACGGCGTCGCGCACCCGACGACGAACAACCGGCGGCAGGACCTCGCGGTCGCGCGCCAGGAGATCGAGAAGTTCGGCATGAAGGAGCAGCTCGCGGAGCTCGGCGCGGAGGGGCTCCGCGCGCGGCTCTGCGCGGAGATCGACGCGGCGGGGCCGGGCTGAGCGTTACAAGTTCCGCGGGTCGACGGACTGCCAGGAGCCCGCGGGGAGCTGCGCGCGGCGGCTCTCGGGCGTCGGCCGCGCGGCGCCCGGCGCCTGGTCCGGCGCGCCGTAGTCGCCGGCGCCCTTGTAGTCGTCGACGTCCTCCTCCTCGTCGACGACGAGCGACTTCTGGAAGAGCGCGTCGAAGCCGCCCGCGGCCTTGGCCTTGGCCCGGAGCTTCGGCGCGGCGTTGAGCATGCCGTAGGTCTGCTTCTCGCAGATGGGGCAGCGCGTGTTCTTCTCGCGGAAGTGGGACGACGCGCACGACGCGCAGTAGTAGTGGCCGCAGGTCGTCATCATGGGGTCCTTGAAGGGCCCGCGGCACAGGTGGCACGCGAAGGGCAGCTCCTCGGCGCCCGCGCCCACGCGGAATTTGTTCGCCTCGCGCTCGTCGTCGCTGTCGGGCTCGCCGAGCTTGCCGAGCATCTCGCGCTCCTTGTCGCGCTCCTTCTGGCGCTGGTACTCGGCCTCGAGCTGCCAGCCCGTCTTGTAGTCGCCGCGGTCGTGCATGAACTTGCACGAGTCGCCGTAGCCGCAGAAGCCCGTGTCCTTGTAGTCCTTGCACACGTCGGGCTGGTAGTCGAAGCGGCACGTGTTGCGCACGAACGACGGCGCGCGGATGGGGCCCTTGGTGCCCGTGTACTTGTTCGCGCCGATCTGCGCCTCGTTGAGCTTCACGTAGGACTTGTAGCCAGCCTGGCCCTGGTAGAGGCCCGTCTCGTCGTTCGTCGCGCCCGCCTCCTGGAGCTCGAACTTGCGGCGGAGGAGCGCCCGCGCGTCCTGGTCCTTGTCCGTGTCGAAGTCCTGGTGCGCGAACGCGCCGCCGCGGTGCTCGACGGGCGCGACGTCGCGGCTGCTCGCGAAGACCGCGGCGCCCTGCATGCGGTCGTCGTCGTCGCTGTCGCCGTCGTCGTCGCCCCTCGTGCCAAAGTGGGCGCCCCGCGTCTGCTTGCGCTCCTTGGCGACGATCGTCGCGTGCGCGGGCTCGTCGGCCGACGCCGCGGCGGGCTCCTCGCGCGCGCGCTTCGAGCCCTTGCGCTCGCGCTTCTTGAACATGGATGCCTCGGGGCGCTCCTCAGTGACAGGCGGAGGAGAACTGCGGCGCCGGTCCCTTCCGAGGTCGTCACGGCGAGTCCTTCTACAGGCAGTGCCAGACAATCGAGTAGTCCATCGCGCTTCGCCGCGGCCGACCTTGTCGAGCTCCTTGCCGGCACGGATCCGGAGCGGACTGGTATGCTGTCCCACGCGTGAGGCCTTACGTGCGCCCGGCGGCCGCACCAGCGAAAGCGGCAGCACTTATTGCAGGGACATACAAAGCGAAAGAAGCGGCGGCGTCAGTAGCCGACCTGGAGGACCGTGCCGGCGGGCGCGTTGGGGGGCACCGTGACGGCCACCCTCTCGCCCGTCGGCGCGGTCGCGTGGATGACGGCGCCCGGCGCGGCGCCCGGCGGGATAGCGACCCGCAGGACGCGCGGCGGGGCCTCCAGCACAACGACGGGGGTCTGGGCGACGTAGGGCTTCGGGTGCGGAGAAGGCGCGAGCTGGACGAGGGCCGGCGGCGGGTCGGGGTACTCGCCGGCGTCGTAGTTCGGTCTCTTCAGGAAGCCGACGCAGGGGATGAAGGTCGCGTGGCCCTGCCAGCCGTGGGGCCCGTCGCGGAAGTGGCGCTCGGGCGCGTAGAACCAGTACTGGAACAGGAGCCAGCACCACCAGGCGAAGACGAACCCGCAGATCATCGAGGTAATCGCATTTGCCGCGGCGGTCCCGATCTCCATTTCGAGCTTTTTGATGTCTTCGGATGGGTCCACGAGCTTGACGCACTCCGGGCGCGCGCACCGCCATTCGTCGGCCGGCGCGCGGCGCGGCGCCCAGCAGTCGACGGTGTCGTTGACGTACTTTTCGCCCTTGCAGCCGTGCTTCCGCTCGGACCGGAGCAGCGCGGACGCGTCGAGGCCCGCGAGGGCCGCGGCGCCCGGCTCGACGCGGAAGAAGTACTGCCACCGGACCCGCTGGCACCGATTCTTCTTATTCTTCTTCTTCCGATTCTCCTCCTTCTTCTCCTTCTTCGTCTGGGCTAAACGTCGTCGCCGTTCCGGTTCCAGGTAGGTCTCGCAGGGCTTTCCCTTCTCGCACTGGCGCTTCTCGACGACGACGCAGGCCTTCCCGAGGTACGCGAAGTCCTCCTCGTTGAGCGAGCTCGCCTCGGCTTGCTTCTCTTCCGCGTGGAGGCAAAAGGGGATGCCCAGGGCGAGCATGACCATCAGACCGACGAAAATTTAACATGGGGAGCTACAGAGGCAGCAGCTTTTGCAGCCCAGCTTCTCGCTTCGAGACTTCTGGTGCCACTTCTTGCCCATCGTGGGCAGGCGACGCGCGACGAGCGGCGCGCCGGCGCCGACAACGCTCCAATGCTCACACTGCTCACCTTCCGCGGAAGCCCGAGCCGGCGCCGACAACGCTCCAATGCTCACACTGCTCACGTGATCACCTTCCGCGGCGCGGAGATTACACGTCAACGTGTCTTCAACCATTCGGCGGACGCCAAGTACTGGGACGACTAATCGGGCCCGCGCGTCCCCTCCAACGGCGAGTCCGTCGTTCTTATCGCGCCTTGTCCTCGGCGAGGAGCCCCTGGAGGAAGCGCGTCGTCTCGGTGATGCGCGCCGCGACGCGCTCCCGGTCGGCCTCGCCGATGCGGCCGCCGAACTTGGCGTGGAACTTGTCGGAGTGCCACTTGAGCAGGGCCGCGCGCGCGGCCCTGCGCTTCGCGTCCGCGGGCGACGACGGGTCGAGGCCGAGGCCGCCCCAGCCGCTCGTCGTCGGCAGCCAGGCGATGGCCTCGTAGGCGATGGGCCCCGTCGACGCCGCGAGGTCGTCGAGGCTCCGGCCGCCGCCGCTCGTCGCGGGCCGCGGCGGCGGCGGCCGCCGGCCGGGGAGCGGCGTCGCCGCGCGCGCTTTCGGCGGCGGCGGCCGCGCGGCCTCCTCGGCGCGCCGCGCGCGCTCGTCGCGGTCGCGCGCCGCGGCGCGCCGCCGCTCGGCCTCGGCGGCCCTGGCCGCCTCGGCGCGCGCGGCGCGGTCGCGGTCCGCGCGCGCCTCGGCCTCCCGCCGCTCGCGCGCCCGGTCGGCCTCCGCGCGCGCGCGGCGGTCCGCGTCGGCGGACTGGCGCCGCGCGCGGCGCTTCGCGGCCTGCTTCGCGCGGAACTGGAGGACCTCCTCCTGGTAGTCGGTCTCGTCGTCGTCGCCGCCCCAGAACGCGTCGCGCGCCGCCGCGTAGCGGCTGCCCTTGGACGCCTCCTTCTGGAACTGCTCCGCGAAGGGTTTCGCGCCGGCGTAGGAGTCGGCGACGGCGCGGTCCGCGGGCGCCATCGCCGCGCGCGCGCGCCGCTTCTCCTCGCGCCGGAGCTCCTCGGCCTTGATGATCTCTCGCTTGATCGCGCTCTCCAGGAGCTGGTGCTTGAGCTCGTCGCGCTCGACGCGCCGCGCGAGCGTCGAGCGCCCGCGGTCTTCGGAAGCGACGGCGCTCAGCGCCTCGAGGAGGCCCGCGTCGTCGACGCGCGCGACGACGTAGATCTTGCCGCCGGCGACGGGCCGCACGCGCGGCGCGGGCCGGCCGCCGGCGGCCGCGAGGCGCCGCCGGCTCGTCTCCTCGAACGACGGCGCGCGCTGTCGGCTCGCCTGGCGCACGAAGTCGTCGTAGGACCGGGGCATGGGCACCTCGTACGTCTTGTCCCCGGGCGCCCGCAGCGCCTCCTCCCGGAAGAGCTGGGCCCGCATGGTCTGCATGACCGGGTCGGCGAGGGCCGCGGCGTGCTCGGGCGTCACGCGGCTCGGGCTCGCGCCCGCCGTCTTCTTCGTGAACGACAGCCGCCGCCCGCGGAAGAGAGGCATCAGGCTGAGACCGACGGCGGCGCCGACGACGCGCTGACGGCGCCGATGGAGGTCGAGGTCCACGCGCCGAAGCTGGAGGTGGGGCTGCCCGCCTAGGCCATGCCCTTCTAACGAAACTTTGGTGGGTGAACATCTTTCTTGAAGTGTCCGATGATGATGAGGCGCCTCGGGCTGCTTTGGTTCGTGGCCCGCGCGCTCGCGGAGGACAGCCCGCGCGTGGCGCTGTCGGTCTACGACCCGACGGTCGTCGCCGCCGGCGACTTCGTCCTCGACGAGCTGCGCAAGCTGTCGGACTCTGGGGTCTACACGACGCTCACGCTGGTGCGCTCGACCACAACCCCACCCCGTGTAAAAAAAACGTCTGATACATAGGGGTCCATCGCGTCGGCCGAGGCGCAGCGCGGCGCCTTCCACGAGAACCTCTTCCTCGACCTCGTCCTCGCGTCGCCGCACTTCGAGAGCGGGAACGCGTCGGAGACCTTCGAGACGCTGGTCATGGCGCGGTTCCGCGACGGCGCGCGGAGCTTCGCCATCGACCGCTTCCCGGAAATGGAGGCCGGCGCCGTCGAGGCCTTCCACGACGCCTCCGTCGAGCGGCGCCGCGCGGCGCGCGCGCGCGCGCTCGCGGACCTCGAGCTCGACTACTGCGACGGGCCCGGCGACGACTGCGGCGCCGAGACCGAGGCGTCCTACCTCGAGCGCACGTCGGCGGAGCTCCTCGACGAGCTCAAGGACGCCGCGCGCCGCCCGGACCGCCGGTCACGCGCGCAGGACGTCCTCGAGAAGCGCGCGGAGGAGGACCGGCTCCGCCACCTCGTCGACCTCCACAAGCGGACCACCTACGAGCTCGACGCCATCGCCCGCGACGAGGCCGACCTCGCCACGCGCCGCGCCATCGCGAAGCAGGTCCTCGACGAGCGCATGGCGCTCGCCTCGTAAAACCTGACCTGGCTGTCAGGGCCGGCGCCACCGGGGTCCCGACGATCCGGGGCGACCCCGCGCGCTCGGACGCAATCCTGGCGCGATCCGGGGCGACCGGAGAGAACTGAGCGGTCCCGCGCCCAACGGGCCCCTGCGCGACGGTCCGGCCCCGGGACGGGGGGCGGGGACGGCGGGCACGGGGGTTCCGGCACGGTAAATGCGCTCAGGGCACGCGGCCCGGCACGGGCCCGGCACGCGGCACGGCACTCGGCACGGGCCCCCGGGCACGGGCCGGGCACGGGCCACGCGGCCCGGCACGGGCCCGGCACTCGGCACGGGCCCCGGGCACGGGCCGGGCACGGGCCGGGGAGGCCCGGCACGGGCCCGGCACGGGGCCCCGGGCACGGCCCGGGCACGGGCCGGGGACGTGGCCGGGGACCGCGGCACGCACCGTCGCGCAGGGGCCCCTCGCCCACACGATCCAGTCATCGCCGCCTCAATCCGAGGATCGAGCAGATCGCGCGTCTTCGCAGCAGCAGTCGACCCCTTGCACCACCATGAAGCTCTGCCTCGCGCTCCTCCTCGCTCCCGCCGCGGCATTCGTGCCGCCGAGCCTCGTGGGCGCGCCGAAGACCGTGTCGTTCGGCGCCTACGACGACGCCGTCGCCGAAGCGCTCGCTGCCACGCAGCAGTACGGCTTCACGTCCGGCGAGGCCAAGACCGCGCGCGTCCCGCCGCGTCTCCTTTCGTCCGCGACGCGCGGCGCCGCGGCGCGCGGCGCGCCGCCGCGGCGGCGGCGCCGCGACCGCGACGCGCGCGCGCGCGGCCCCGGTTCGGCCGAAAAAAACTTCAACAATCGAGCCGCGCCCGTCCTAGGTGGTCCGCGGTCG